AGAGGCAATATGTGGAAAAATCAAGTGGAAAAAGTAATCAAACTTGCTACATACCTCTTCAAAAGCAGGCGTTGCTACAGTAGCTTGCGGGCCCCACACATTCATCTTACAAAATTTTGAAAATAACCACCAAAATGTTGAATGCAAAACTCTTCAAACCATCTGTTCAAAAGAGCAGCAATCTGAAAAAAACTTTTCACTGTAGCGGCCAGTATGCAAAAAAAGAGCAGAAGCCAGCCAGGTTGTACATTTATACCCAAAAAAAGAGCAAAGAAAGGAAACCAAGAACAGAGCAGCGGCCAGAAGCAATACAAAACAACACGATGGCATAAAAAATAGCAACAATTCCTACTAAAATTAGAACTAAACAAGCTTTTTGAGTGGTTTTTACATTTAATAATATTTATTTATATTTTCATTCAATTATGTGCAAACTAAACTAATAACACTTATTAATGGTATATTTATTCATGTAAAATAGATAATGAGGGTATAAAATTGTAATAAAATATGATTATCAACTCATAAGCTACAAAATAGCACCAATTCCTACTGAAATTAGAACTAAACAAGCTCGAATTCATCACAAAAATCTATGAGGACTTACTTGAGCTCAGGATAAAAATAGATTGGTCATAAAAGATTGCCTCTCCTATAAAACTATGATGCAATGTAGGCTGCTATTATGAGGGATTACATCACCCAAACATTGTAATATCAATGTAGGTGGCATTCCACACAGAATTGCCTCGCCTAAACATTACATAATTAATTAAAATAGGATGCATTCTCAGTTTGTTATCATCATCACTGCCCATCTAAATAAACATAAACCAAAAGAACAAATACCAGAATTGAGTACCAAAGAAAGCCATCTGTCATTAAGCTCAAACCGACCGTTATATATCACAAGAAACCAACAACCAATACCTCAATGTAAGCACAAAAAGGCAACAATAACAATTAGCAACAAGAATCAATAAAGCCTTTTATTTTGTAGTTATAACTGATATAATACTTTCCTCAAAACATCAAACAAGTTAAGAATGTACATCCAAACTATTCATGCTACCCCGTCACGCGAAATGGTGGATGCACTAGAACAAAGAAACTTAATGATAATAGAATAAGTTTTTTTTATCATTTTAATTCGTCATTGTATACTAAAATGCATATGTATTTGTTTATTGACAGCGGTATATACAATAGAGCTGTTGAAACGTTCAAAGTTTTTTATTGTTAAAACATTCAAAGCTCTTTATTTTGTTCAATGAGAACTTTCTATTTACAGATTAATTTATACTTTAACTTAAAAAACATTCAAAGCTTTTTACTGTTAAAATTCATCATTCTAGAAAAGGAACTCCATAATGCAAATTTAAAACCTAAGCATAAGTCAGTTAAATAGACAGAAGATACTATCACTTCTTCCCATTTAAATTGCTGTTACAGAAGAAAACTTAACAAATATCAAGCTAAATTTAATTGACCAGATAACTATATCTCATTTGATTTATTCACATCTTACTACACTAACCAATTCCTTTTTTTGTAAACCAGTATCTAATAGAAAACAACAACTTTTCCATGTTAAAAACTGAAAACGCTGACCTATTCACAAAAATGAAACAAATTTCATTCATTCATATTCATTCATGTAAATTAGGAAACACATAAAAAGCAAGATGAAGAAATAGCTAAAATTTCACAACGAAACTAAACCAGATTTCTAGGAGATGAGATAGATCAACCAAATTTAATGAATCTAGCATGATATTAAGCATAAATAATACCAAAAAATAGGGAAATAATAGATTAACAAATTTTCATGCTTTTGATATCCAATTATTCATCAACTATTCAACGAAAAGGAATATCATGAAGAAATTATACCTGTAATTGCCGAAATCCAACAAATCAAGCAAAATCCGACGAAATCCCTCAAGGAAGGCAGTGAATCACAAATTAATATGGACATGCAGACTCAAAAAGTACACAAATTAATTGCAAAAGGTTTTTTTTACCTTTCCAGTGAGAAAAATCAAAGAATCACGGCAGATCTAAACTAAAAATCAAAGAATCATGGAGAAATTACACCTGTAATTGCCGAAATCCAACAAATGAAGCAAAATCCGACGAAATACCTCAAGGAAGGCAGTGAATCACAAATTAATATGGACACGAGGACTCAAAAAGTACACCAACTAATTGCAAAAGGGTTTTTTTACCTTTCCATTGAGAAAATCAAAGAATCACGGCAAATCTAAACTAAAAAACAAAGAATCATGGAGAGATTATACCTGTAATTGCCGAAATCCAACAAATCAAGCAAAATCCCACGAAATCCCTCAAGGAAGGCAGTGAATCACAAATTAATATGGACATGCAGACTCAAAAAGTACACAAATTAATTGCAAAAGGTTTTTTTTTACCTTTCCAGTGAGAAAAATCAAAGAATCACGGCAGATCTAAACTAAAAATCAAAGAATCATGGAGAAATTACACCTGTAATTGCCGAAATCCAACAAATGAAGCAAAATCCGACGAAATACCTCAAGGAAGGCAGTGAATCACAAATTAATATGGACACGAGGACTCAAAAAGTACACCAACTAATTGCAATAGGGTTTTTTTACCTTTCCATTGAGAAAATCAAAGAATCACGGCAGATCTAAACTAAAAAACAAAGAATCATGGAGAGATTATACCTGTAATTGCCGAAATCCAACAAATCAAGCAAAATCCCACGAAATCCCTCAAGGAAGGCAGTGAATCACAAATTAATATGGGCATGCAGACTTAAAAAGTACAAAAAATAATTGCAAAAGGGTTTTTTTACCTTTCCAGTGAGAAAAATCAAAGAATCACGGCAGAGAAACAGAGATCGATGGAAGTGGGTGTCGTCGCAGGGAGGGACGACGACGTCGTCGGAGAGGGGGGAGAACATCGTCGCGGGGAGGCAGGAGGGCGTCGTCGGAGCGGGACGAGGATGAGGGAGTCGTCGGGGCGGACGAGGGCGTCGTCGGTGCGGGAGGAGGGCGTCGTCGCGGCTAGGAGAAGCACAGGTCGTCGATGAGGACTTGAGTTGGGGAGTTCGGCTGAAAATGGCCAGATCTAGGGTTCATGAGATGTGAGAATAATATTTATATGTGGTCATGAGATGTTTGGAAAAAATCTCAACCGTTGATTGATGATCCAAAGGATATGTGAAGCCCTAGCTCACTTAACAATGTATATTTATATATGGGTAATGTATATTTATATATGAGTAGAAGTTATAATGAAAATTTTTTGGAAAATTGCAACAGAATTTCAACTTAAAAAAGAATTTGTAAATATAAAGACTTACTTTCTTTTGTAGAACAACAAGAAAAATGAAAAATGAAGAAATAGATAATAGAAAGACCAATTTAAGCTACTTTACTTTTCCAAAATAACACTCCCTCGAGATACAAAATAAATTAACCTCTGGAATAGCAATTGGTTGCAACATTTTGCCTTTGACAAAACTTTGAAAAGAGATATGTAACTAATTTAGTAATATATTAAATTGGTGATTCTTAATCTAGGAAATTTAGAGTTGATATTTTGGGTAACATATTTTTCTATATGATTTATGATTTTTAATTTTAACTGTATAATAATCAAATCAAATGTATTAAAAATTAAAGAGACGTAAATTTAAAATACAATGATAAAAAAATTAGTCACCGTGCTTGGCACGGGGTACATACTAGTGTATATATATAGCAGCAAACCCGAAACCCGAAACCCGAAACTGAAAATTCAGTCTGACTAGGAACATTTTTTTCGGTATTTTGGCTATAACTTTCTCATACGACCTCGGAATAAGGTGATCTAAGATTTGTTGGAAAGCTCTTGAAGATACCTACAACTTTGGTTTTATACACTTTTCCAGATTCTTAATGAATCAGTGAGAGAAACATAAAAACTCTCAACTAGTCAAAATTCCCAGATTCTCACTCTTGGCCTTTGTGCATGATTTGTGTATTTGTACTCACATATATACATATATACATTGAATTGATCTCAAATCAGTTCCTAGCATACTCAAACATCATAATATATTATTTATAAATGTATAACATATTTATTATTATTTATCATAAAGTATTCAAATTTTCGGGGTTTTACACTTAAGTCAAACAAACGTTATCTACCAACAATGCACTGTTTTGCTCTGTATTTGTGCATTTCCTTTCACTGTGATGTAAGGGTCCAAACATTATACATGCATTTTCAGTCATGCTCTCAGTAAAAATGCTCCACTTGATGAGTCACTAAAGCTACTAAACTGGATGATTAATGTTACATTTGAGACGAGTAATACAATGGTAGAGGTTAGCTGCTGCTTTCTTCAAGAATGGGCTTTCTTCAATAGTACCTCGAAAGTTCGTTTTCTAGAAGATAGCCTGAATGCCCAAGCATGCGGCCAAGCCAATTGATCTCTTGCTGCACCTCCTGAGTTTTGAGTAAATGAATCTATAAGTTCTTTTTCAATTAATCCTGGAGATTCAATTTCTATGTCCCAGACTGAAATTTATATATAAATGTCAATAGGTCATAAATAAAAGAGCACAACAAATGCAGGCATGTAATGATGAAGAATTCTATTTGTCCGCTCCCCCTCCTGTTATAACTGTTATATCAACTTTTGGATATTGGACTTTGTAAGTTATGTTCGCATCCCTCTTGTAAATTTTTAATAATTTAATATTTTTTCAATGAATAGGTCACCTTGCCTTGTTTTTCTATTTAAAAAAATACGGGAAGAGGATTAAATTCATCTCAAACCCTATATTTTTTATCTAATTTGTAATTGAAAATAGTTCAGTAAAATAAATAAATAATCAATAGACTATACAAGTAGCAGAAGGAGAAGATGACCTCGCCAGCACCAAGAAACCAAAAAGTGTGTTCCGGTAATTTTTCACCAACCAAGTTTAGTGCTGGAACAAGCCTAGCCAGGACAATAGAAGCTGTTCCATGCAATGATTTCATTTATTAGATAAGTGTTATTTTGTTCAAAAATCAAATAGAAAATTATTAAGTTGAAAATGATAGAAGGAATTTATCACACAGCTAACATAAAGCCACATGCTTGCTTTACCTGAATATCATCATTAAAGAGAAGATAACTTGTGCTATATTTTGCAAGCAATTCAAATGCATCATGGTTTGAAAAATCCTCAAACTGCATGCATAAAATTTTAGTTAAATAAACTTGTAGCAATAAAGGGAAAAAACAAAATTAAATTTGGTAAAAGTATGGTAATGCGTGGTAATTTGGCCAACCTGAATAAGTACTTTATCCCCATAGTTCTGTTTGACAGCAGTCATGAATTCATGTAGTAATTCAGCATATTCCTACTCCAAAACGTACAAGGCAACAATTTAGTAATACTAATTAATGCTTATTGTAAATTCCACATAGCATGCTAGTTAGTGTCTATAGAATCCCGTACCTGACAAGTAGCAAGCTTGTGCCGCAACCCAATATAGAACTCATCATTCAACAATTGCTTATTGTTCGTGCCCACATCAATCGTGTGGGTAAGCACTGCGAATAAATTTAAATGTCTGTTGTCTTATTTCTTATGGAAAAAAACATAAAGCTTTGCCAAAGGACTGTTTAGGCTATTAGAACTGAAAAAACATAACAGATTAGGTAATTAACATGCTTACAGCATTTGGTCGAATCCCTCCAAGGGCTGTGTACAAAGAAAGCTTGCCAAAAGGAATTCCCATACCCTGGACAAAGCTTGGTAACAGGTATATGGGAAGGAGTTTGATTCATGGATGTGGACACAACTTTCTTACAAGTACACCATCAAAAGGTCCCCTAAATGTTAACTTTCCAAGGGTCAAAAAATAGGGTTATATATGTTTTTTTTCATAATGTATACACTATATTTAAGAGAATTCATTTTTTTCGTTTGTGTCACATTTTCAAAAATTCTAGAAATGCCCTCACTTTGAAAATTCAAAGAAAACACACTGTCATACTCGAGAGAAATCTACAGATAATGCCCCTCAGTCTTTTAGTTCCCCCAGGTACAAAAATGTACATAATCAACAACTTAGATAATTTAGATTGCAGCCCATGCATTTACAAAGTCTGACAGTATCATTTAAGTGTTTACCTCTACATATAGTCCTATACAAATATAGTCCATGCAAGTCGCTATCAAAAAAAGTAAACAGCTAGTATCATAACTGGAATTGAAGAATCAGTTATTTCCACCAGAATCAAGCAACTAAACACATGAGACTAATAATAAATCTGTGAAGAAAATAACCTAAAATAAAAAGAGTACACATAAAGAGTAACACACCTCGTCCATCACGGAATACTTCAGAGAAACAGACGTCACCAGCTCGGCGCATATGGTCCTAGAGAACATCCATTTTAATCCAGCCACAATTTAAATTACACACACATTTCAGAAAAATGTAGGAACTTGGTACCACCATGCGCAAGTTCCTCCATTGTAACTGCGAGGACGATCAAAAGACGAAGAATGGCCTCTTCCACCATGCGCAAGTTCCACCTGTGTAAGCACAGAGAAACCATAAGATAATGGAGTGATGCACAAAACATATAATAAAGAAATCAACCTTCAAGTCCCTAAACTAAGAAATGAAAAAGCCTACCTGTAGCCTGCTACCATCAAAATTATATCCATCACGACCGCGGATTGCATCTTCAGCATCACGAGCCTCCTCAAACTTTGAATAAAAAAAACCCAGCAACATCAACACAGATGACCCACTCCAAACATAAAAGCAAATCTACTTGAAATATTGAGGTATAACCACATAGTTACTGCTTTTGAAGACATTCTGCTATGTAGTGCAATGTTTGCAACAAGAGGCTGTTTGGTTCAGGAAAAAAGAAAGAAAGAAAGAAAGAAAGAAAGAAAGAAACCCCAATAAACCAATTCCAAGAAAAGCCACATCAGATTTTCTAACGAAAGATTTCCTTTTCTGCTGTTCGTTTCTCATTTGGAAAACAAGAGGAAGGATGAGTTGGCACCTTCCCATTTGTTGATTGGACTCTAATTCTAGGAAAACCATTTCAGACTTTTTGTAGGAAATGGCTTGGAAATCTTTTAAGGAGGTTTATTCATCGAACATTTTTTTCTTTGATTTGTGGGAAATTAACCAAACAGCCCTATGCAAACATAGTTGACTTTGTTGGATTACACTAAGGAAGCATTTACTTAAAAAATAAAAAAAATCTAAGGAAGGATCGGAGAAATCTTCAGATCAATAAATATAATTACATGATGTAGTACCTCGACAAATGCATAACTTGGAGGCCTTGGAAGGATCTTTAGAACAATATTACGAATAGGTCCATACTACAAAAGTAAAAAAAACAATGTGTTAGCAAAGTATACATGCTCCTATCGTGAAATAGTAGTATGCAAGTTATAGAGTTGTGGTATTTGAGTCAGAAACATAAATATCCCCATACGCACACATTTATATGCATATCTATTTCATCCTGTTACATGAAACATTTAAACATGTTGCAGACAACTAACAAGCAATAAAGTTCTGGTGTCTGAAACACATAAAGAGAGATAGTTTGATCATTGTGACGATTCATGTAAAACCATTCCAATATAAGACAATTTTCCATGTAACCTAACCATGTAAGAGTATATTTGCAAGTTCTAAGAAAGATAGGACTAAAATCTCATCATAATCAAAATAACAGGTTGGAACATGAACCCATATGGTAGTAAAGCACAGAAATGCATCTCTAAATTCCAATATCTTCCTCATATAAAATAGATTGCAATAAAAGATCAATGAGTTAGTTTCGTGCATATATGTGATATATGTTCAAAGACTTCCACAACATGTCAACTAATTTAGAGTTTGAAAAGATAAGAGTCTTGGGTCCTTGTTACCATGTAAGTTGATTCAACACGAATCACAATGTAGGAAGCGTAATGGATAATTGCCTTCAGAAAACAGTAAGAAAGACACTATTACGTAATTATGTTTACTGATGAAACAAAAGTTTCTTTTCATTGCAACCATCAAAACCGATTAGTTGGAAATAGAAAGTCAACCATATGATAATGCAATTTATTGTTGTCATAATCGCTGTATTATAGCATAGGTTTATGTATATTACTAAGCCAGGTTGAAGTCATAGAAGAAATGCATTTTTTGAGATAAAAGCCAAGACAACTATCATCCTATGAGAAATTGTCATTCCATTTCAATTAATAATTAGATTAGCCATCACATTGAGACAATTTCAAGGTTAACAGTAATTATCTGTTCAAAATTCAAAGTCCAACAATACATATTAAATTTTTCAAGCTGATATAAAGAACTTGTGGCCGCCTAAAGATGCAACCATACTTCTGGCAAGCCTCGCCAACTGTAGGTGTGTAAACAACTGTAAGCAACTCTTCAATATTATCTATTAAAAGCTTGTAGAAAAGTCTTTTATTTCTCGACTGAAAAACATTAATGGAAAGGCATAAAGAAAATGAATCTACATCACAATCACGCCCCAACAGTTTACCATTGCTTGGTTAAAATTAGCATAATATGGTCAATTAAGTAATGAACAGTCATTTGAAACTATGAGTTGGTCAAGATATATGCATAAAGAAAATGGGTTCAATCCCATATAGTAATGCAGTTAGTGGAGCATGTCCACAAAAGTTTGTAATTTTATAAATAAATAAATTTCTTGCAATGAAGTAGCCAAAATTCCTAAATGAACATATCAGTTCGGGGAATCTTTGTCAAACTGAATCATTGACCACATACTCCTTTATCTTGCACTGTAGAAAATGAATTAACAAAAAGATCAACACTACATACAAGTTTTTTTGAAATCTCATACTTTTCTAAATAAAAAAAGAAAAACAAAAATTAAAATAATCCAGGTGATGTACCCAGATGTAGATTTTCCATAAAACTCCTGTAACTAATAAGAACCAAGGAAATAAAAGCAGCTACCTCATGAGGATAGGTCATTGTTGAGGCAAGTATTTTAGATAATGAAGAAGCAATTGCTACACTTCCAGTACTGAGCTTATCCACCTTAGTATTTTATGGGAGGACATAATAATGTCAAACAAAAATCAGTACTAAAACAGAATGAACTGAAAATTTATATGCAAAGTTTAAGAGCAAACTTATTACCTCTTCCTGCCAAGTAAGCTTTGATCTTATCATATGCAGGAAACTGGATAGCAACATGGCTAACTCCAGCTAAAGCATGAATCAGACCACTGTTGAAGAAATGAACATAGCATATAAATACAACAATCATTAAGAAGGATCAGAAATACAATAACACTTGATTAATACTACGCAGACAAACACTACCAGTATAGTTCTCGGATGCCTTATTCATGACAAAGCTGCTTCAGAGCAGAAAATAGGAGAGTATCCAGTAAGCTCTCATCAGCAGAGACACAATTGCCTTCAGTAGTATTACCAATCAGGTAAAGTTGTTTAATTCAAAAGATTAGACTGACTTTGAGCTCAATGTCAGATAAAGTAATATAACTTGGCAATAAGGGTTATTCATGGTATCACATGATAATCAAGTGAAAGATAAAATTTATTTTCCAACACTGAATAGATGTTATCAAAAGAAAGGAGTACCTTTGATGCAACATCAAGTGCATTTGAACCAACAGGATGAGCACTCAATTTTGCCAGGTACTTAACATGGTGTAATGCTGAAATTTCAAAGTAGATGGATCCTCTGCCACATAACTTTGTAAAGTTCCTAATTTGTAAAGTGATGCTCCTTAAAGAAATCAGTTACCTTGATGACGAGCTGATGATAGTGGAGGTTTAGTAGCTTTCATTGATATAAGGCTACTTTATCGATTGCCATAAAGAGGATGTGCCTGATCAAGGACTTGATACCTGTATTATGCTGAAGGCTCTGAAGAAAGAGGTATAGAATGCCGCTATTCTCTGAATTATATTTGCTCAGCACACTGGTTAGACGAGTTAACTGCAGATATATTGATTCTATTAATTAACCTTTTATCTATTTAAGATGATATATGATTAGATTTACAAGTTTTTGAACTTCATTTTGATATGTACCTGCCATGATTAAAGTTGTAATATCATCCAATCCAGACGATCATTTTTCGGTATGAAACCTAGTAGTAGGCAATCTTTATTGATTATTCTTTTAAAAAACCCTGAGAACCTGGACATGTAATAAAATAGATACAAATAAATTTTGACTACTTAAAGAAATAAATTAGAATAACAATTTTGTAAAATTAGCTACCTTCTCTAAAGGAAGCTATGGTTTCCTCTCAACAGGTTCAGGAAGCTTTGCTTGGTCATCATTTTTCTTACGAACGACTCATCGACAATATTTTTTGTGCAGTATAGATAAGTTAAAAATAGTTGACATGAAAATTTAAATTAATGAAGTGAACTATTCTATGAATATGTATTTTGATTCACATAATTAAATATTAAATTTAAGTTAATAACTGCAATAACAATCAAAGCATGCAATAGTTATCAAACAACTATATGAGCATATGCGTATAAATCATAAATTGTCCAAACAAATTAAATTCATCAATTAATAAACTTAAAAGCCTATGAAAAGCACATTTAAAATCCTTTAACCAATTTGTAAATGTTATTAAAATTAAAAAACATTAATGTTTAATTTTTGTTGGCCTTTGATTAATCCTTCTCCACCTTGATCTTCTTTTTTGGTAAATCGAGAAATGAATCATCATCATCAATGTTGATTGTGATGTCCTCTTGGATTTGGATTTCTTGTGCTATTATCTTTCCTTGTGCACGTTCATCCTTTGACTTCTCATCCAACTTTACAAGGAACTTGTATGTCTTTCCGATGTTGAGAACAAACTTTTGAAAGAATGAACTCTTATATTTTTTCTGTTTAATGAGGAAAAAATTAAGATCTTATACATGAAATATATTGTTTTATATGTATAAAATATAATAAAGTAAGAATTTACCTCTTTTATATCATCCATGAAATATATTGTTTTATATGTATAAAATATAATAAAGTGAGAATTTGTCTGTTTCGTCTTCCACTATGATTTTGACAACATATCTACATTTTGTATTATAATTGTCCATAAGATGCTATTTATATATTTAATCTTTATATTTTTAGTTCATGAGTAATTGATAGTAATTTACCTCGGTATACTGTCTTCATTGTTTTTTTGACAATTTTGGCATTTGTCATAAATAGTTTTGTCTACTTTTTTATTGCAGCCTTTTTTGACAATTTTGACATTTGTCATAAATATTTTTGTCAACTTTTTTATTGCAGCCTGTGCATGAGTAGTACCAAGCCTCATGTCTATTTAAGATATTACTTATTTTTCCAATAAAGCTACCATATTGTGCCTGTAGATTTGTAAAAATTAAGTTAGTTATAATTTTAGTTTACATATATTTAGTAAAAAAATTATAAATTTTTATATAATTGAAAAAAAATATAGTAAATTTTTTTTTTAAAAATTAATGCAAAAGTAATAATTGTAAATGTATTTGAAACATCAATGAAACAATATCTATTTATATTAATTTTTTTAAAAAACTTAAGCTCTTGATTCATTACTAATTTATAGTAGGAATTTTAATATAATACCTTGGATGATTCTTGTGAAGCTTGCATAATGTCACCAATATTCATTTTCGTTGCATTTTTAAATAGCCTTGACGGAGCATCATTTGTCTTTATCTTCTCTTTTGAAAGAGCCCTGCATATAATTTTAAAAATATTTAAATTTTAATTTATCAAGTTACCTTCTTTATTTGAATTACCATTCTCGCATGTCCTTAGCAAGTTGTATATCAGGGTTGATAAATATTGTTGATGCAATTTGCGAAGTCAAGCACAACTCCCCTGCATATATATTAGTTATAATTAGAAATGGATATTTTTTGATAAGTAATTTACAATTCAATTTAAAAAATGATACATTTGTACAATGATATTTTAAAATCTGAAAGCGCTATGATAGTAGTCTCATGCTTATTTCCTTCAATCATTGAGCCTTCATTGACAGCTAAATCTCCGAATAAAGTTACAGACAATGTTATGTCACTGTATAAGAAAAGTTAGACAATTTTAGGTTAATATATTATATTTTGAATAAATATTTTATTGTGAAATAAAATCATGCGTGTATACTCTTTGTCTACTATAATAATGTCCCGTCTTGTGTCTGCCTTATTATATCTTGTAACGTACTTGATCATAGGCTTGACATTTGCTATCATTGCAAGAACATCTGCACATAAATTTATAATAAGTTGAAAATTCTTTTATAAATTTATAAATTAAAAATAAAAGGTTTTTACAAATACTTACTTATATTCCTTGTATCCTCGTTGGAAATTGCGTCTTTGATTGAGATAAAGTTATTCAATATCTTATCAAATTGAAACTCTGCTTTTGATTCTTTGATAGAAATGTTCTTAGTCAATGTCAACTCAATTGACTCATGTACATTTCCATAAAGCGGGTTTATTGGTTTGACTTCTCCATTTGAGATGTAAAGAACATTATTCTTCTGAAGCATTTGCTTATACATTTCAATAGTTTCTCCAAACATAATACCTTGTATTTTTTTCCCCTGCAAATATTACTAATATTATCTCACAAATAACTAATACATTAACATTCATTTAAGCCTAAGATAAATAAGATAAGTAATAGATGATGTAAGTTATGTATAAATATAGTTTTATGTGGGAAACTTTTAACTAACCATTCTCTAGATTTTACTGAAAGGTATCAATAATCTTCAGGGCCCAAAAAAAAATTTATCTTTTAACTCATCAACAAAACTAACCTTATTTATATAAAGTCAAGTAACAAATTTAATCGTTTTTATGGATTAGCTCTTTGTAAAAAATGAATTACATGTTGCTTACCTATTTAATAAATGCAGGAATTTTTTTATATGATTTTATACATAGTAAGGTGATAATAATTAATATAAGAATAAGCATAAACAATTATAATTTAATTAATATTTATAATTTATATTTATAAATTTATAAACAATTGAGAAGGCTTTGCATAGATTTAAAATAACGATTGCTATGGCATGATAAAAAGTTATGCATATTGTATTTAAAAATTGTATGTATTACTTTATTTAAGAATAAGTATAAACAAATATCAATAGAATTATAGCATGTAGATTTTTTCTAAATTACCTCTGAGTCTGCAAAAATTAATTTTAGTAGTTTTCCTGATCCTTTGTTGTTCTCATAAGATGACTCGATAGTTCTTAGGATAACAACAAGAATAGTCCACTCTCTTTGAAATTTTTTGAGTTGGCGTATTTGGAGGTGTGGAATTGGTGATTCGTTGGTGGATGTCATCGTTCCTGCAAGATTTTGAATAGTTTGTTATATGTAAATAACAAAGCATTTGAAGTACTAAATAAACTCAAAAGAAAATTAAATGAGACTATTTCTATATCAAAGATGTGACACTAATTGAATGATGTAATAATGAATTGTAACTTTTTTAATTAATTTTATGAAAATAACTTTAATAAAAATTGCATCTACTTATTATATAATAAATTACTAACCTTCGAAAATGTTATTGGTCATTTGAATTATTCCTCGTGGTCGTTTGGCTGGAGAACTTCCTTGTATACAACATTTTTTATGTATTGTTCCTCTTCTGCAAATTTTCCATCTGATGTTATTAAGACCTTGGTTGTCATCATAGAAGTACCCCGCGATAAAGCAACATATAATTGTCCATGAGAGAACACTGGTTCAGGTAGATAAATACCTACGTTAGGTATTGTTTGACCTTGGGATTTATTAATTGTCATTGCAAAACATAATCTTATGGGAAATTGTTTGCGTTTGAACTTGAATGCATAATCTTATGGGAAATTGTTTGCGTTTGAACTTGAATGGTAATCCTTCATCTTCTGCTGGTGACAATGGTATTCTTGGAACTTGAATGGTAATCCTTCATCTTCTGCTGGTGACAATGGTATTCTTGGCAAGAAAACTTCTTTTCCAGCATGTTGTCCCATTGTGATTCTAGCTTGAATTACATTGTAGTTAAAATCTTGACATACCATTCTTGTACCGTTGCACAGTCCATTAGTTGGATCCAAGTTCCTTAGTAAAATAATTGGACAATATTTTTTCAACAGTAGCTTGTGTGGCGGTAGTCCATTAGGGAGCAGAGTGTTCAAAAATTCTTCTTGGTAATGATGATTAGTGTCATCAACTGCTTCATCAAAGCTATAGAATTCTTTTCCTTCTCCTGGAAACCTTTTTATTAGTCTATCATTTAACATGTCAACATATTCATTTTTTGTTGCAAGGATAGCTCTATCTTTCATATAGTCAATAGACTTGAAATTTTCATCTAAAGATGGAAAAATTGAATTTATGAGAGAATCTTCCGGTAGCTCATCACCTTGATTCTGGATCAACATTGCATTAGGCAGTTTTATGAAATCCTGTGTCACTGTTGGTTCATCTCCATTCCCAATCCTAAGAATAAATTCACTGAATGCTGCGTCTGATTTTGCTCTCATATTTTTGGAAAGTTGTAGTTTGATCATTTTTCTCCATAAATGTGAACTTACCAAACTTTCTTTGATAGTTTGTGATCTTGTTGAGCGAGGCACCACTGGTAAAACTTGTCTGAAATCACCACCAAATACAATAACTTTTCCGCCAAATGGTTCATCTTTATCCATTAAATCTCTTAGTGTTCTATCCAACGTTTCAATTGCAACGCGTTTAGCCATAGCAGCCTCGTCCCAAATTATTAGACGTGCTATTCTAAGGAGTTTTGATGTCCCATCTTGCTTTGATATACTGCACATAGATGAATCTGTTGTTGGGATTTTGATTTTAAATCTGGAGTGTGTTGTTCTTCCACCAGGCATTATTACAGCTACGACACCTGATGTCGCTGTAGCAAGAGCTATCATACCTTGTGATCTTACTGTGGCAAGTAGAGCGCGATATAAATAAGTCTTCCCAGTTCCTCCTGGACCGTCAATAAAGAAAACTCCACTTTTAATAAATTATAAAATTAATCTATGCAAACCTCCATGCTCATATTCTCGCTGTTGCGCTCCACAAAAAAAAATCAATCTTACGTTTTCCCTTGCTATTGGTACTACTGCCAGCTAAATCATTTCTTTTTCTCTTTATATTATTATCAATGACCTTCTGAATGTAAGTTCTCTTCTGATCAACATTCAACTGATTATATTTGGTGTTTCTACTCTCTTAATATCCTTTCCCATGCTCTTTAAGTAGAAGTTAATATTGAGAAGAGTATCATTTATCACCGAAGCTTTAGTAGCATTTGGTTTCCTTGAATAGTCTTTAGATAATGATTCAATATATTTATCCCACAAATGATTAACATCTGTAGGCTCACAATGAACCAATATAGTTGCAAACAAACGTCGAAGTGCTGTTGGCATTTGGAAGACGATGGCTTCATCTAAGCACTCTCTTATGCTATCATCAGATTCCAAAAGACCTAATTTCTGAGCTGATTGCTTGAAAGATTTACAATGAATACCATTTACCGTCAGTAGATCCTCAAATGATGTCGGACACCTAACGTGAGTAAGCAATAGTCGCAAGTAATATCTCTCTCCTTCAATTGGATTAGCCCCATTTATTCGACCTATCACTTGTCTCTGTTTTCTTGGACGCCAAGATTTTGATGTTGAATCCCAAACATAAATAAAGAGAAAAGAGAAGAAAGTTGCTTAACTAACCTGAATCAACGACAACTTTAGAAATGTTTTAAAAAAAAACAAGGCAAATCCAACCAAGTAGGATATCTGCATTAATATGAAAAAATGTTAAATAATTTAATCTATACGTAATAGTGTATTACAAAACTTATATAATTACTCAGAGACAAAACATACATAATTATTAAGAGACAACATATATAATTAAAAAAAATGTTAAATTATTTACGTGAGAATTGCACAACAGGTTTTCAAAACATACATAATTACTCAAGGAACAGGTTTTCTCGAGTAATGGCTACAAAACATATTCATATCTTTAATCTATTGTTTATGCAATTGATATTAGATTGTTCAAAACATAATTAATATACCTAATACCTAATTTAGGGAAATAATCACAACCAAAATCACAAAAGAAAAAAAATTAACTAAACTCTATCATTTGTGATTCTCCGATTCCAGAACGAAATCAAAGACAACCTCTATCTTTCTCATACCAGATTCCAAACCAAATCAAAGACACGGCGATGTAATTAATTCATAAGGTTTATTGTCTCTCAATTGCAGGGCCCCTGTTTATGATGGACCTGCATCTAATTTGGTACCAGGAAACAATCTGGAATCAATGGTTCATCAGCTGATGGATATGGGTGGTGGTAACTGGGACAAGGATACGGTTCAGCGAGCACTTCGTGCTGCTTACAATAATCCAGAGCGTGCTGTGGAATACTTATATTCTGTATGCACTATATTTTGTGGGGGATGCAGTTAGAAACTATTCATAAACTAATATCTCATATATGCATATCCTTATGCAGGGAATCACTACATTAGGAGAAGCTGCTCAGGCTGAAGGGCTAAACACAACTGGGACAGCTGCTGAAGGCGATACTCTGTCTGTATTGCCAAATTCTGCACCTCTAGATATGTTTCCACAGGTCAGGTTTCTCCTAGCTTATAATCTTCAAACTACCTCACCCAGATGTATCTCATAACGGAATTCTCTCCAGGGAGCTCCCAGTGTGGGTGGAGGTGCTAGTGGTGGGTCTCTTGATTTCCTTAGAAATAATTAACAGGTACCCCATTCCATTGCTACAACTTGCTTCTCTGGGTCTTTTGATTTCCTAGAAATAATAAACGTGCTGTTGACGGTAAAAATTCATTGTCTAGAGTATTCATATGAACAGGTTTATATGTTTTAGCCTAACCTGTTCCCATTGACATGAACAGACAGACTCGTCTAATCTGTTTAACATCACCAAAAGTTGTGTATCTGCAGCAGATACACACAATACTGTGTTTATCTACTGCAGACAGATACACACAGTATTGTGTGTATCTGCTGCAGATACACAACTTTTGGTGATGTTAAACAGATTAGACGAGTCTGTCTGTTCATGTCAATGGGAACAGGAGTTAGGCTAACATATAAACCTGTTCATATGAATACTCTAGACAATGAATTTTTACCGTCAACAGCACGTTTATTATTTCTAGATACTGTGTGTATATATGTTGCTGCTGCATATGCACAGATAGTCTCAATATTGTATTAAACTCAGTTTCATGAAAGCTAAATGATTTTTCTCAGTAATAATAAATATTGAATGGAGATCCTACAATATACCAAATTAACAACATTTACCAGCCTACATAAGACATGCAATAGACAACAGAGTCTTAAGTAGAAGCATTACAGTAACCTTTCGAAACTAACAAAACCAATAAAAAGTAATAGTTAAGGCTAGTGTGCAAGAACTGTCTACTGTACAAACATTGACAAGAAGGTAATTTTGGCTCATGATTTCTATATTGGGGAAACCTTTTTATTCTCTACCACTTTATTTACCTTTCAGAATTCACCTTATGTAGATTACTCAGGAAGAGCTGAGACTCTTTTTTGGATCAATATGTGGAGAGGTTTGTTGTTGCCGATGGTTATTTTGTTGATGGTTATGCATTAGTTAATGTGAAGAAGTTATGTTTCATGGAAGGATGTATACTAAAATGCTCTCTTTTGATAGGTCTATCGCATGAGAATGCTCGGGGACTATCAGCATAAAACTCGCATTGCATTCGTTGAGTTTGTAATGGTCAGCATTTCTTGCTCTATGATTTCAATGTTGTTATTCACTTATTATGTTTCGTTGGCCATTTTTGTCCTCTATTTGGACTGGTCACCTCGCGGTATCAGCATTTACATGCATCTACACAAGCAATCAAACATATGACTTGAAAGAAGCCTGGGACCAAACACTTTTAAAATAAGGAGGTAAATTGACACTTTAGTTTGGAGAACTATAAATAAATATGTATGTCGACAGCTGTTAGCATATTTATCATCATAATTATAATTCAAATAGGCCAGTTAAGGCAATATGTGTTTATATTTATTCAGTCAAGTTGTTTGTATTGAGAATTAAACCATGTCTATCGATTTGCGGGGAGCATGCAAAGAAACAACAATCATATGTCACATGAGAAGCAACCATTTTCCTCTATAAATAAGAGCCTCTATAAATGTTTGTGTTGAATATCTTTCCCTTTATTTCCCCCCCCCCTACCTTTCTCATCCTTAGGCTTTAGGGGTTTTCTCCTAAGTTTGATTGATAAAGAATTTAACACTGACTCAACACTAAACTATAGGATTACAAATCATTTTATGGGAGACATCTTGGTTTAATCTTAATAACTAACGTTATGATATATTATTACTCTGCCACTTGGTTACTGCTTGACTTTATTTTCTCACCAGGGTTTGCTATTTTCAGTTCAATCCTTGTTGTTTCGTTCAGTTTTAACAATATTCTACATCACAACATCTTGTCTATTAGACATTTCATTCCTAAAATCTTGCAGCGCTGGATAAAACATTTTCAGTCGTGCAAGCAGGATTGCCTTTCAATTAATGCGTACAGCAAAAGTTATGTCAACCAGGTAATGCTTGTAGTTATTTCAAATCTTACTGATGAGTTGATAGTATCAATTAATAATTATGTACACTTCGTGCTGCTTACAATAATCCAGAGCGTGCTGTGGAATACTTATATTCTGTATGCACTATATTTTGTGGGGGATGCAGTTAGAAACTATTCATAAACTAATATCTCATATATGCATATCCTTATGCAGGGAATCCCTACATTAGGAGAAGTTGCTCAGGCTGAAGGGCCAAACACAACTGGGACAGCTGCTGAAGGCGATACTCTGTCTGTATTGCCAAATTCTGCACCTCTAGATATGTTTCCACAGGTCAGGTTTCTCCTAGCTTATAATCTTCAAACTACCTCACCCAGATGTATCTCATAACGGAATTCTCTCCAGGGAGCTCCCAGTGTGGGTGGAGGTGCTAGTGGTGGGTCTCTTGATTTCCTTAGAAATAATTAACAGGTACCCCATTCCATTGCTACAACTTGCTTCTCTGGGTCTTTTGATTTCCTAGAAATAATAAACGTGCTGTTGATAGTAAAAATTCATTGTCTAGAGTATTCATATGAACAGGTTTATATGTTAGCCTAACTCCTGTTCCCATTGACATGAACAGACAGACTCGTCTAATCTGTTTAACATCACCAAAAGTTGTGTATCTGCAGCAGATACACACAATACTGTGTTTATCTACTGCAGACAGATACACACAGTATTGTGTGTATCTGCTGCAGATACACAACTTTTGGTGATGTTAAACAGATTAGACGAGTCTGTCTGTTCATGTCAATGGGAACAGGAGTTAGGCTAACATATAAACCTGTTCATATGAATACTCTAGACAATGAATTTTTACCGTCAACAGCACGTTTATTATTTCTAGGAAATCAAAAGACCCAGAGAAGCAAGTTGTAGCAATGGAATGGGGTACCTGTTAATTATTTCTAAGGAAATCAAGAGACCCACCACTAGCACCTCCACCCACACTGGGAGCTCCCTGGAGAGAATTCCGTTATGTAAAAAGTAATAGTTAAGGCTAGTGTGCAAGAACTGTCTACTGTACAAACATTGACAAGAAGGTAATTTTGGCTCATGATTTCTATATTGGGGAAACCTTTTTATTCTCTACCACTTTATTTACCTTTCAGAATTCACCTTATGTAGATTACTCAGGAAGAGCTGAGACTTTTTTTTGGATCAATATGTGGAGAGGTTTGTTGTTATCGATGGTTATTTTGTTGATGGTTATGCATTAGTTAATGTGAAGAAGTTATGTTTCATGGAAGGATGTATACTAAAATGCTCTCTTTTGATATGTCTATCGCATGAGAATGCTCGGGGACTATCAGCATAAAACTCGCATTGCATTCGTTGAGTTTGTAATGGTCAGCATTTCTTGCTCTATGATTTCAATGTTGTTATTCACTTATTATGTTTCGTTGGCCATTTTTGTCCTCTATTTGGACTGGTCACCTCGCGGTATCAGCATTTACATGCATCTACACAAGCAATCAAACATATGACTTGAAAGAAGCCTGGGACCAAACACTTTTAAAATAAGGAGGTAAATTGACACTTTAGTTTGGAGAACTATAAATAAATATGTATGTCGACAGCTGTTAGCATATTTATCATCATAGTTATAATTAAAATAGGCCAGTTAAGGTAATATGTGTTTATATTTATTCCGTCAAGTTGTTTGTATTGAGAATTAAACCATGTCTATCGATTTGCGGGGAGCATGCAAAGAAACAACAATCATATGTTACATGAGAAGCAACCATTTTCCTCTATAAATAAGAGCCTCTATAAATGTTTGTGTTGAATATCTTTCCCTTTATTTCCCCCCCCCCTACCTTTCTCATCCTTAGGCTTTAGGGGTTTTCTCCTAAGTTTGATTGATAAAGAATTTAACACTGACTCAACACTAAACTATAGGATTACAAATCATTTTATGGGAGACATCTTGGTTTAATCTTAATAACTAACGTTATGATATATTATTACTCTGCCACTTGGTTACTGCTTGACTTTATTTTCTCACCAGGGTTTGCTATTTTCAGTTCAATCCTTGTTGTTTCGTTCAGTTTTAACAATATTCTACATCACAACATCTTGTCTATTAGACATTTCATTCCGAAAATCTTGCAGCGCTGGATAAAACATTTTCAGTCGTGCAAGCAGGATTGCCTTTAAATTAATGCGTACAGCAAAAGTTATGTCAACCAGGTAATGCTTGTAGTTATTTCAAATCTTACTGATGAGTTGATAGTATCAATTAATAATTATGTAATACTATTAGTTATTTTATATCTAATTATTTTATATGTTCAATTTAAATTTGAAAAAAAACATATTTACCCACCTTCAGAGCTTGAATATGAAACACGATAACAAGAAATCAATTCCCAAACAAATATAAGATACAAAAAATGTTATAAATGGAAAACAGAAGTAATTTAGGAAATAAATCAAAATCAAAATCAAAATCTGAAAATTTAAAGAACTAAAATCAACTGAACTTACTTTCTAATGTCGATCCAGCTGCTGTTGGAATATTTAAACCACTCTCGCTTGAATCTGGAGGGAATCGGAAATTAGTGTAAATTTTAGAAGAAAATTTAAGGACTGAAGAAGTATAGGTTAAATTTAGATATAGGGTTTTGTATAAAGGAGTTAAGATGAAGAAAAAAAATACCTTACTGAATCCCCAATTGCAGAAATATTTGGAGATGAATGCGGAAATTCGGAATAAATACTAATCTGTGCATATTTCTCTAACGCTTCGGCTTCGACGGATAAGTGAATCGAACGAATAAACGACATCTTTGCAAATTCCGGTAACGGTTCGGCTTCGTAGGAGAAGGGTAATGGATGATCTCTTTGACTTCGGCGACGAGGAAGGCGTAACGGAGGAGAAAATTCCAGAAGCTGAAGGCGAGGCGACGATGAAGGAGTAACGGAGGAGAAAATTCCAGAAGCTGAAGGCGAATTTAAAGTGACGAAATTATATAAGGGAGAAATTGGGTATATTTATGATGGATGAAGGTTAATTTTGGTATGGGAAAGTTTTTCAGGAACTGGCTCTTTTAAAGGGGTAATAGATACATTGAATTGATCTCAAATCAGTTCTTAGCATACTCAAACATCATAATGTATAACATATTTATTATTATTTATCATAAAGTATTCAAATTTTCGGGGTTTTACATTCTTCCCCCCTTAAAAGAATTTCGTCCTCGAAATTTAGAAATCATACTTAAGCAAATAATAATACTAGAAAAACATATAGTGGGTCTAATTCAACCCGCAACCAGAAACATTTAGAATTTTACTCTTGATAAGCATATATGGGTATTTATATTTAACAGTCCATGATGAATATATTCCCACTCAACCCTTAATCGAATGGAACTAGTACGTCGGGCGAAAAATCCAAACAAGGAACCCCCCATATATATACCATGTGTTCCGAAAGATTAAGAATTAAGTGAAAATATCCTCATTCTAGCGTTAAATCAAAATATAACCACACAAATAATCGTACACATAAATCAATGCACTTCCTCAATAGGTTCAGGAAGTCGCGCGGCATAACATCTTCGCGACCCTGAAGATCATCTCAACTCCTTTCTGGTTCCACTGAGTTTTCTCCAAGGGAAAAAAAATATCTTGTTTCTAAATTTCTCGTCTTCTCTAGCAAGTATACAAACTGGGATTTCAATCGTAGTCAAACCATCATGAAGCTAAATTTCTAATGCGTTCAACACTCACTATCGTTCTTCACCACGTAATTGTTTCTTAAGCATAGAAACATGAAATACATTGTGTATACTAGACATCAATTCTAGAAGATTTAGTCTGTATGACACAGTTCCAATGCTCTCCAAAATCTGATACGGTCCAATGTATCTCGTCGTAACCTTTTTCCGTCTTCCGAATTGCTACCTTAAAAGTCAATGACACAAATCCGACATCTGTTTTCCAACATCTAATTTACTCTCTCCGTCTGACCATCCATCTATGGATGAAATGCACTACAGTACGATAAATCTGTTGCCCAAAAGAATCCTGGAAACCCTTCCAAAAATGTGGAATGAACACTGAAATCTCAATCTGATGCTATCTCATCTGGAATTCCATGAAGTCGAATAGTCTCTTGAATAGGTATCCTCGCATACATCTCAGCTGTATAGTTAGTCCTTGCTGGAAAAAAAAATGTATTGACTTCATCAGTCCATCCATTACCACCCAAATCGAATCATTCTCTTTCTTCGATTTCGACAACTCTACAATAAGATCCATAGAAATATCTGCCCATTTCCACTCTGGAATGGGTAAAGGCTGCAGTGTCCCTGCCGGTCTCTGATGCTCTACCTTCACCTGCTGACAGGTACAACATCTAGCCACATAGTCTGCAATCTCTCTCCGCATACCACTTCACCAGAAACGCCTCTTCAGGCCTTTGTACATCTTGGTAGTCCCTGGATGACTGTGTACCGAGTACGGTGCGCCTCATCCAATAACTCCCTCTTCAACTCTGCACCGGCTGGCATAACCAATCTACCCTTCATACGTAATCCTCTATCTGTTCCAATGGACCAGTCTGCCTTAAGCTCTTTGGAAATCTCCCCCTTACGAGTTTGAATCCAAGAGTCCTCCAATTGAGTTCTGACAACTCTGTCACTCCAAGATGGCTGCACTGACATAGCTCCCAAGAATGCACTGGTTCCTCCAATCTCGGGCCTAATATCAACTGGCTAAGAGTGATAAGATCTCTGTACAAAGAACACCTCAAAGCCGCAACCCGATGCTGACGCTTCCTACTTAAAGCATCTGCTACGACGTTCGCCTTCCCTGGATGATACTAAATCGCGAACTCGTAGTCCTTGATAAACTCAATCCACCTCCTCTGCCTCTGATTGAGTTCCTTCTGAGAAAAGAGGTACTTCAGACTCTGATGGTCTGTGAATAGCTCAAACTGCACTCCATACAAGTAGTGCCTCCATGACTTCAGTGCGAACACCACTGCTGCTAACTCCAAGTCATGAGTGGGGTAGTTCTGCTCATGCACCCTCAACTGCCGTGAGATGTAGGCTACTACCCTCTTAGTCTGCATCAGAACGCCTCCTAAGCCTGCCAACGACGCATCTGTATACACAACGAATGTCCTGAATGAACTTCCTGTAATATCCAGCTAATTCCAAAAAGCTGCGAATCTATGTCACCATCTTCGGTGGCTCCCAATTAAGAACTGCCGTAACCTTAGCCGGATCCACCGCTATACCCTCTCGACTGATAACATGGCTAAGAAATCTGACTTCTGAAAGCCAAAACTCACACTTGCTGAACTTGGCAGACAGCTGATGCTCCTGAAGAGTCTTCAATGCTATTCGTAGATGGTCCTCATGATCCGCCTCCGATCTCGAGTAAATGAGAATATCATCGATGAAAACGATCACAAA